CCTGGTCTACAAAGTGAGTTCTAGACCAGCCTGAACTGCATAGTGAGACCCTAGCTCAAAAAGACAAAAAAAAAAAACCCACACTGCTTTCTAATGAGCATAGTTTTGCCATTACAAGACTATGTCCACCCATTCTCTGTGATTGCAACAAAGTAAGCAGTTTTAGGACACAGTAACTATGTTTATTGATTCTCTAATTTTGGTGGTGGTTTGGTGTTTTTGTGTGTGTGTTTTTGAGACAGGGTCTGGCTATGTAGTTCAGGCTGGCCTTGAGCTCACTTTATAGCCTAGGCTGGTCTTGAACTTGGAACTCAACAATCCTCCTGCCTCAGCCTCCTGAGTGCTGGGATTATAGGTGTGTACCACCACGCGTGGCTTTTTTTCTAATTTTGAAATTTAAATTGGCTCTAATGAAATCTTAATTCTAACAATAACATCATTTTGGTATATTTCTCTTTTAATTTTATCTTTTTAAAAAAATTTTATCTTTAAAATGATCTCCTGGAATATTTGCTGTGTGTGTACACTTAAGAGAATCTGCTCTCAGTGAATACTGCTCTGCGTTTTTGTAGCCGGAATTTTCTTGAAACTGTCTTTTTTTTAATCAGCATTATATTTTAGTCTGATGAAGCAATAGTATTTAATCCCCTTAATTATGGTTAGATTGCAAATGTTCCTCAACTTATGTTGGGGTCACTCCTTGAAAAAACGTCATCAAGTGGAAAGTGCATTTAATGTGTCCAATTTACTGAACACCTCAGCGTAGTCCAGAATACCTTAGATTTGTTCAGAACATAGATTAGCCTATGGTTGGACAGTCATCTTATATAAGGCCTATTTTATGTGAAAGTGTTGAATATCTCATGTAATTTATTGAGTACTTTATCCAAAAATCACTGCTGATACCATGTAGGAGGTGTGATTGAAAAGGAAGCTGAAAGTTTTAAATTTTATTACAGTAGTAGACCCATTGCCATTAACTGCCCCCCCAAAAAAAACACTTCCTCTTACCCTGAACACAGATCTCCCACATTCTTGACGCTTTCTGAAGCAGCTCTCAAAAACCTCCTTGATGTTTTTAGTTGCTGTCATGAGTGCCTTGATGTCTTGAATGGATTGAAAATATTTACCTTCCATGGTCATCTTGACTTTGTGGAAGATCAGGTGCCAGCTCTAATGAGTAAGGTGGGGGAGGATAGCTGTTACGTTTTTGTGAGCCTGGCTTTCCCTTGCATGTCACTCAGCAGCAGCATTCACCGCACGTGTGTGTATCACACCTCCTGAAGGCACTCATAAAAGAAGACTTCCAGAACTGCCACAGAAAGTGGGAGAAACGGTGAGATCAGTGTTTGGAGTGACAGAGAGGGTTTGAGGAGGATTTGTGTCAGTGTATCTTTTACTGTAATAAATATTTTTAATTCAGACCTTCCCTTTACATCTTGATGACCCTTGTACACTGCGGAGGGGGAGTTTTTTCTCCTTGTGAGCACATGGCTGCCTGGGAGCATGGGAATTGTGATTGGCTGTCACTGACCACAATCACTGACCTATCATTAGTCCAGCAGAAGGTCACATTTGAAGTATGATTTTATAAAGTTAAAAAATGATTAGGTCAGACCATTGTTAGGTTGGAGGAGGACCTTCTATATTAATGTCTGAAGGAGTCTATAGTCTAACCAACTTAACTTATATAGGACAGCCTTTACTTTCTTAGTAAATTATACTGTATTAAAACTATACTGTACTGAAAATTATACTGCTTCAGATTTGCTTTCCTTGGATAGCTACTTGTTACTTTAGTTTTATTGATAGCTAAGTATATTTATCAAAATATTTCAATTGGAATTTGTATAAGAGGGGAGTGGAGTGGGGAAGAATTGCTGATTTCTCTGATGTGCTTCTGGGTGTATTATGAATTCAGGGGAATATCTTTTTATTAAACGCAAATCCTCCCCTTCTCAGAGCAACTTGTCCAATTCTAACTGTGGTTCTTAATTTTATTAAATACAGTAATGGTCTTAGAGGAAAAAGTAAACTTACTGCAAAGACCTTCTCAGAAGTTCACTGCTTCCTGAGGAAAACTCTAAACATACAAGAAAGGCAGCTTAACGCAGTTTTATAGAGCAGGACAATATTCATTCTTTTCTGCTCAAGAGTTAACAAAACATTTTGTGTAGAATTTGGCTTGGATTATTAATTGTTGGCTGGAGTTTCTTTTATTAAGTCAGCTATCTAAAACCAGAAAAAGAGAACATGAAGTTTTGTCTTTATACTCGTTCCAGGTTGAGTTTTCCTTAGGGAAGCTGGCGGAGAAATGTACTAGAGAATGCATTGCTGTATATATTAATATATTCCAAAATAGAGGATTTTCTGGTTGCCGTTTTTATTTTCTGTTCATTTAGTTTTTGTGGTGGTGGTGTTTGCTGTTTTTGCAATGATCATCTTTTTTATCCTCTTTGTATCACTTAAATGTGTTTTATGGTTTATACTCTAAAGTCCTGACTTAGATTAACATTTGAAGGCCACGGAAGTGCGTAATATAGCAGAATGCTGAGAGAAGCTGGTTTTGTTAATGTTTTTTAATTTTAATTTAACAAGTATTCTAAAATTTCATTCCCCTGAAATTTGGTAATTAGCAAATGCTCCAGTTTCCAGGGTTGTCGCTCCATCTTTGGGTTTGTGGGTCCTCTGTGTTTTCTTAAGGTACAGTGTCTGGAGGAGAAAAGAAATAGTACTTTCAGTTCTGTCAGTACATTTATTTAGGTAAATTACTGAATGTCTTGACTCCTATTTTTTTCGTCTGCCAAGCGGGGAAGAAGGCAAAATCTGTCTCTTCTACTTTGTGAATCTCTAAGTAAGAGAGGAAAATGAGATTGTGAGAAAATTCTTTAAAACACAAAAACTAGCCAATTCCAGGTATGGTGACATATGCCTATAACCCCAGCACTTGGAAGCTGATTTAGGAGGATCTTGAGTTTACAGTCAACCTGGACTACATAGCAAAACCCTACCTAAAAAAGAGGGGAGGCACTTCCATTTGAAGGCCGAGCGTGGTGGTGCACACCTATAATCCCAGCACTCCAGAGGCTGGTTGAGAGTTTGAGACCAGCCTGGGCTACAAAGTGAGCTCAAGGCCAGCCTGGACTGCATAGTGAGACCCTGTCTCAAAAAGACAAGAAAACAACGACAAAAAAATTTCCACTTGTAAGTTGTTATGCCCATGATCAATTTTTTGCCTTTTGTGTTTTTCACTTCTTACTGTTTTTAACTTTATAGACATTGGTCCAGTCAGCTTTAAGAGACTCTGTGTAGTGTTCATAGATTTTTTTCATCAGTTTTCCTACTTGCTTACCTCTTATTAGAAAATACTTTTTTCTACTCTTTCTAATTGACCACTCTCCCATTCATGACAACAAATCCAGGGACGGTTTTAAGTCTGTTTTCTCTAGATGACCTTTGTCGTTATGGCTATCTTACAGACTCAAAAGAAATTTTCTTTTGTAAATCACTTATTTTGGAAATCTTATTTATTAAATAAATAAGCATATAAAATAAGCATGCATGTTTTTGCAATTCAGAGTAAGCAGTACTAGGGCTGGGGATTTAGCTCAGCGGCAAAAGTGCCTGCCTGGCAAGCGCAAGGTCGTGAGTTCGGTTCCCGGTACTGGAGAAAAACCAAAAAAAAAACAGAGTAAGCAGTAGTATATATTTTTCTGGTTGCTTTTTTTCAGTTAATACTGTACTTTTAATGTCAGCGCATACAGAGTTACCTCATTCTGATAGTACTCCATTAAATTAATGGATTGCATTTAACCAAAATTTTTGTTGTTGTTATCTTTTTGAGACAGGTCTTGCTAGGCAGTTAGGCTGACCTTGAGCTCACTTTGTAGCCCAGGCTGGTCTCCAACTCGCAGTGATCCTCCTGCCACAGCCTCCTGAGTGCTGGGATTGCAGGTGTGTGGCACCACGCCTGGCTAACCAAAATTCTTGACATAGAAAAATGTGTTGTTTCAGTTGCTATAACCATCTATTGTAAACAGCTGAAGTATCTTTTAATCATATTTGGGTGGTTTGCTGTTACAAGTAAATCTGTTTGAGGATCAGAATCTTGTTTCTCCTTTTTTTGGAACTTCGGGTAATTTATTTGGAAGCAGTCTGTTGTGCTCCTTCTTCAGGTTGAGGCACTGTGCTAGGCAGTGAGGATACAGATGAATGAGACGGCAGCTCTCAAGGACAGACTTGAGGAATGTTTCACTTCCGCCAACACATCAGTCCTGCTGTCCCTCCCCAGAGAGGGTGGTACCTAGTTTTCAGGATAAAATGCAAGTCATTGTTTAATGTATTAATCCAGGAGTATTCTTACAGCTCACTTTTGTTTCCCAATGGTCATGACTGTTGCATTTTCCTTCATGACGTGTGTTACTGTTCTGATAGTATTTATTTTTAAAACAGGTCACATTTTTGACCAGCATTTAGGAAAGATTTGCTGAACACGTGTATACATGTTGGGCGTTGAACTTAGTCACTGTAGCTGCAAATATGATATGGTCTCTGCTGTCACAGTTACAACCTACAGAGGACAGGAGACAAAGAATGCAGACCCACCGCTCCCCGGAGTCTTCACGTAGTGTGTTTGGTGGATAGTGGGTTAGTTTCAGATGCCACCATTCCTTAACAACACTTAGGAAAGCATCGTTTCTTTTTACGCAGACTGGCTCCTAAGCCAAACTTGAGTTTCCTCTTTGCCCCACCTACCTCACAGTCTTTACTTTGGATACAGGTTCTGGGGTATCTGAAGTAGTTGAAATTTAAAGATTCTAGTAAAAATTAGCTTTACTTTGGTCAAAGATTTCTAACAATTTTATCATTTTCTGATCTAATACCTGTGCACATTTTGAAATTAAGGCTTTGTACCAAATAGCATTTATGGTGACGATTTTTAAATTTGGATGTTCTGAAATATTGTAGGCAATCTAAATAATTTCTTTTCATTTTTACAGCGGGGCCATATGGAATATTTGCTGGAAGAGATGCTTCCAGAGGACTAGCAACATTTTGCCTAGATAAGGATGCACTTAGAGACGAATACGATGACCTCTCAGATTTGAACGCAGTACAGATGGAGAGTGTTCGAGAATGGGAAATGCAGTTTAAAGGTACTTTGTTAAGTTCTTGAGAAAATATATGTTCAGAGAAAGTGTATACTGTTTCACATGCTTAAGGAGCTTAAGGATGACATGTGATTTTATTGCCATCATGGTTAGATTTTTTTTTTCTTTTTGTCTTTTTGAGATAGGGTTTCACTATGTAGTTCAGGCTGGCCATACTCACTTTGTAGCCCACTCACTTGCAGCGATCCTCCTGCCTTAGCCTTCCGAGTGCTGGGATTATAGGCATGCGCCACTATGCCTGGCTAGATGGTATTTCAAACCTCACTAAATATTAATATGATTTTATGTGATAATTTGAAAAATATGTAGAACTTGATATGAGCTATAAGTCTAAGAAGTTATGACACTTTTGGTCTTTTTTGTTTTTTTAAATTACGGACTTATATTCAGAATGAATGGTGGGGGCTGTGTAGATCACGTTTGTATAACAAGACCCTGGGTTTGGTCCCTGTACCACCAGAAAAAAAGTTAGTGATGTTAATACTGTAATTAAATTTATTCCAAAATGACTTTATTGGTTTTACTCTCCAACAGTAAGCAATATTCTTCCCCTGATTATATATTCATGACACTAGTTTTTACTACCGGTATGACATTGTGACCTATTCATGTGACCCCTGAATCCCTTGGAACAGCTTTTTGGCTTCTTGGCATTTGTTCTGGTTCTGTTACATGAAGTAGTCTTTTTATCTCGTCCTCTTGACAGCTGATTCACTTCACCTAAGTCTAATTCACTTGTAATAGGTTTCAGTTCCTGACCAAGAAACAAACTACGTGTACCTACATACAAAACTCTAGACACCCACTCACAAAAAAGGCAAAAGAGAGTTTGAAAAGGGAAAAACGAAGTGCTAGAAAGCACATGCAGGCCTCTGTCACAAGGCGACCGCCAGCACATGTCTTTTCATCTCTACATTTAGTTTACTTTCTGGAGGTGTCTCAGTTGGATCTGCTGCACCTGCGATTCTCTGCCTCCCACACTCCTCCACGTCCATCTTCAGCTCCAAAAGTCACTCTTCCTTTCTTCATGGCCTGTTCTCCGAAGTGTTAGCCCTAGCTTTTTTCATCCCACTTCGATGCAAAATCTAATGTATTTTTGAAACTATTATCATGCAAATTCCCTATGATGAGTGTTATCAATATATCTGAAATATACTTATAAAAAAAAGAAACTGTTAGAAATTCCCAACATTGCCAGCTCTTTCTTCAATTCTACTAGCCCGGGCTATTGGGAATTAAAGAACTGTTCTGAGATTGACAGTGCACTTCAGACCGCCTTCACACATCTCCAGGCCTAATCTAACCCTGGGCCGGACAGCTGTAAGGTGGATTCCATCCATGTATATTTTTTAAAAAGATCTCCAAGTGATTCTGTGCAGTGTCTGATTAAGAGCCACTGATGTGGAACACTGTCCTGCGCAGAATAATTCCCAGGCCTTGTAAGTTCCCTAATACTGTTCTCTCTTGCTCAAACTTTGCATGTAAAAAGATCAGCCATGGGGAAGCATTAGGAAAGTTAGCTTATTCTCCATGCTTCTAAAAGCACAAAGTGCCTGCCTTCCCTCTATAATGGAATAGGAAAACAGCTTGGACTGATTTTCTTTTGATTTTTCATTTCCTTTTACTGTATCTTTCAGAGAAATATGATTATGTAGGCAGACTCCTAAAACCCGGGGAAGAACCTTCAGAATATACAGATGAAGAAGATACCAAGGATCACAATAAACAGGATTGAACTTTGTAAACAACCAAAGTCAGGGGCCTTCAGAACTGCAATTCTTACTCCCTTTCACAGAATGTCCAGTGTCTTTTGTTCTGATTCACCTGCTGCGAAAAATATTCGACAGATTGTATACAAGATAAATGAGTCTCGCTCTGAAGATTTGAATCTAGACATTATGTATGCTGCCAAGCTCATCCGTTGCAGTTGTGTGTAATGTCTGGTGGGGCTCCATCGTCCTGAAGAGGAACAGACAGGCGTTTCTTAAACAGCAAGAAAGTCAGGAGGTTACTTTTAGCTTTTCTTCCTCATCCCCTTCTCCTTTACCCCCCCTCCCCCTTCATCCTCATCCCCTCTGACCTTATTCTCTCTCGCTCTTTTTTCTCCCTCCCTCTCTTTCTCCAGAATATATCAAAGACAACCAGATGGGTATTTGCAACTCAAGTGTACAAATCTCAAAAAATACCAAGGGACTCCCTATTTTACATGCTGTGTTTTTATTGTGGCATTGACGAGGGAGGGGGCCTGGGAGAGGAGGTGGGAGATGCACATTTGAGTAGTTTAGGCTACTGAAACATTAAAATGTGAATTCCCAAACTTTTCTTTTTGGGCTTTGTCAGGGAAAAGGAAAAAAAAGAAGGGATTTCAAGTGGATTGAAGTCAAGGAAATTCTCCCAAGATCATTTCAAGCCAGTTTTATCCCCTCCCTTTCTTCCCCTAGATGAAATCAATATTAATTGTGCCTTATTTCACTTCCATAGACTTGAATTATTTTTAGGGAAGCCCCTATATGAATTTAGAAGTCACTACAAACAGCATTGAGACTGAAGTTGGAATATTCTGTTGACCCACAAAACCTTGATGTTGTTCTGTGTATATAGAATGTAAGAGGAATATTCAGTGTTAACTGCCATGTATGTTGATATATACAAATTTAATGAGCATTGTGATGCCAAATGCATTCCCCCATGCTTTCTCTTTTAAAAAAAATTGGAAATCAGATCAACAGTTCTTATCCCCTTACAGAAGCTGCCTAATTTTAGGAGTCTGACGCTCACATCTCAGCGGTGTGGGTGTGTGGGGCCGAGGTGTGGATGTCTGTGTGGGTGTGTCTGGATGTGTGTGAGTGCCTTGGAAGGGACTCTTTCTGCAGATACTGTAAATATAAGTACTGTTTTAATAAAGCATGTATAATAAACCAAAATAAGCTTGAGTTGGATTTTATATGCAAAACTGTAAGCCAGTGCATTAAGATATGGTAATAAGATTGTCCATTTGATTCAAGGTGAGAACTCGGAAATGAAAAGCGGGCACTGTTAACAAAGTTGTACACATTGTACCACACTCAGTGTAACTTTAGGAAGAAATTCCACTTCTGTGGGACATTCTTACGCGATCTGAGATTATTCAGGTATTGATATATAAAAGTGTACATATTCTTACTTTATATTTTGATGCCAACTGATTATCTTAGAAGTAATAGCACTCCAGGCAATAGCTATGAAATGCGAAACAGTAAAGGATATTGTACTGATAAATACCAAATTCTTCCCTTATGTGGCTGAAAAGGTCCTTAACTAAAAGTCCTACATACGTTAATCGTATGATTTTGTCATGACCATGTAAGTTCTTGATTGAGGACAAGTCACACCAAAAAATCAATTTTATTTAAGTCACCAGTTAAAAAAAAGACTTCTGTTTAAAAGGTATAATATTTGCAAAAGCCATCAAAAGGGGAACTTCAAACTGCAAGAACAAGTGAATGTGTAAAATACTACATTCTGTAATGTTTTGTGGAAACATCCTTGGTCAAATCTCGGCCAAAGAGTGGTTATGAGGACTTAAAAGAGTTGGGAAATGCTTTGTGTTTTTGTGTATTTTCTTAAAAAATTTGTTAAAGTACATGTCCTCTGTAATAAACATATATGTATGTATATATATATATATGAATTATTTGAGCCTACAGTTCAATAATAAACCTGCACTTGTGAATAGAGAAGCCCTAAGCATTCGTATGGTAAAAATGGTGTGGTCTGTTAAGTGAATCATTTTCTGTGTTGGATTCAAATAAACTGTGTTCTGTAGATAAGCCCTTAATTCCAGTGAATGTTTCCCATTCCCGGGTGGCTTGGCCAGCTGTCCGTTCATGAGGGACCTGTGGCCTTGGTGTATTGTTCGTGTTGTGTTCGCCCTTAGCCAATAGTTTTCGAATTTCCCTCATTATTTCTGATCACGTGACTTGTGCTCATCGCATAGGTTCTTGGCCTCTCCTGTTCAAGCCTACCGCCTGTGGAGGCAGAATGTATGTGAGAGGTACCTGAGAGGATTCCTAGGGCTGGGCGTACTGAACTTCGCAAGTTACTTCATGTTTGCTAGCAGTGAAGTGGAACTTGCTCATAGATAAGTGCTGATCCCCTACACTTGGTTTTGTCTTATTTCCTAAACTCCCTCAGCAATCTGATTTAAGATTTCAAGTGAAATCTAATACATGACTTTAAAAAATAGCAAATTGTAATAGATATTTTTCTCCTTTGCCAGCATCTGCACACTGGCTTGTGTCCCCAAATAAAAGCTCTATTATATATAGTAGTCAATTTCTCTGTATTAGCATGGATCCATTCAGACATAGATGAGGTTTTTAAAACCATGACCATGGTGCTGTATCTTTTCATGTTGTCCTGATGGTATTTCCACCTGCCTTTCTGCTATCTGCAGTCTGACAGTACACCCACCTCCACCCACATCCAAGAAACCTAAATTTAATATGTTGAATTAGCACTGGAGGACTTGTGTTCTCTGGAAGACTCAATACTGAATCACTCATCAAGGAGCCCACCTTAACCTCTACTGACGGCGGAGGGCAACACAGCTAGTTGCTAGGAGTGTGCCATGGATGTGACACCAGAACCTCACAGAGCTGTCACAGATAGAAATGAATTGGCAATACTATAATAAAATTGAAAGTTCCTTACAGCATGTTGAAAATGAAAGTCAAGACTATTGCAGTGATAATGAATTAATAGTTCTCATATCTCCCGTTAATGAAAGCAAATGCCTAAAGATGGCTTCTGAGAATGTATATTCCATGAAGGTCAGCTATCATTTGGTAAGTGATATTTATCTCACTGTGACCTATTTGGCCGTGGCAAAAACATTCAAAGACCGGCCAACTTTCCTATTTTTAGGCTAAAAGCATAATTCCTAGGCAGTGTCAGACGTGACTATCACATCACACTCCTGTGAGTCACTTGGAGGAAACCCTGCTCTAGCTCTCAGCTTTGCTTTTGTTCTGCTGTCACTTGCCCTGGGGAGTCGTTTAGGTTGCCTGTGATTACTCCAGTCAAGAGAGCCGAGCTGGGCACGGGGCTGAGGCAGGAGGATTGAAAGTTCGAGCCAGGCCTGCCAACGTAAGTGACTTGGCGCAACTGACCCTGTCTCAAAAAATAATAGAGGGCTGAGAGGAGCTCAGTGGGAAGGCTCTGGGTTCAATCCCAAACACCAAGAAAAAAGTGCTAGATACCCTGTGAGCACTGGTTTATTCTCAAGAGATTTCTCTGTTACAGCCACACAAGACCCAACTAACCCTCATGCAGCTTGGTGTAAAGAGCCCCATAATACTGGCATGTGCTTTTAAATGCGGTAGAAAGTATGATTTTAAAGGCTGTGTAATACTGCTTCTAAGTAAAATTTTTAGAGAAAATACAGGCTGTATGTCGCATGGCTTAAATTTGTTTAAAAAAAAAAAAAACCCAAGGAAGAACAAATTTAAAGATAGATCCACATATGCTTTGGTTGGTTATAAAAACAATATAGGCTCATCATAAAAAAGATGTATAAGAGGTGACCAAAGTTTAGTTAAGCAGTCAACCTTTTCCAAAACACCTCTCCAATTCTTTCTGTGTGTGGAATTAGAATTTTTCTCTTTGTTGTTTGTTTTGTTTTTTTGTACGGGAAGTTGAATTCAGGACCTTGCACTTGCCGCATGGGCGCTGTGCCACTGAGCTCTATGCCCGGCGCCTCGGCCGCGGAATTAGAGTATATTCTATCCAAGGCTTCAAGCTCAAGATACCCCCCAGACTCACTGGACTGCCCCTGCCCTGGAACCTCCTAGTGAATGCGAGCTTTTCCCTCCAGAAGGCTCCTGTCAGTCCTCTGTCCGGTGCTGCCGTCTGCCTGTCTCCCTCCCGCCCTCACTGCGCATTCACGGCCTCTGGTGCGGCTGCTCCCCTGCTTTGAAGGCCTTTGGCGGCGCCTTTCTAAAGAATCCAGACCCTGCTCAGGCCTCCGCCCTGCCCCTTCCGCCCCCACTTCGTTAACTGCTCCCGCGGACTCCGTCCACCCTGCTCTGCGAGGGCTTCCAGAGCACAGCCCGGCTGCACCGCTCGCAGGCCCGCTGCTCCTCTTCCCTGCCGCCGGCTGACTCGCCCAGTCCTGGGGACAAAGTCAGGGTCAGCGCCTGAGGCTGCACGAGAGCCCGCTCCCTCCCTCCGTGGAACCTGGAATTACTATTGCGGTGTGATTGCGGCTGCTGCAAAGCCAGGGCCCAGAATTATACTCGATGAGGCCGAGTTTCCCCAACCCCTCCTATGTGCCCGGCCCGTTTTGCTAAACGAATGTGTGAACTGAGAGGGTGAACTCAGCAGCCGCCGCACACCAGCCCTTGCGAGTTCTGCTTACTGGGCTTGCAGTGCATCTGAGGAGTTTCTGTGCTGTCAAAAGCAGGTCGAAACCGCGAGACTAGGTGCTCCCAGTGCCCTTGCAGTGTGTGGACCCTGGGGTAGAACTGTGCATGCTTAGAAGCGTGGAGCGTGGCCGCGTGCGCCAACACAGCGGCCGTCGTGACCGCTCACCTGAGCGCCTGTGCAGTGGGGCAGCGCCGCAGCAGGTGCAGCTGGGGCGGGGGTCCCAGCTGTTTTTCTTGTGGGGAAAACATCCACCCCTCACGCATCTCACGCGGGACTCGGGAGTCTTGCCCTGCGTCACAGAGGCACTCCTTGCGAGGCCTGGCCGACGCTGTGCTCCGTAGGAAAAAGACAAGGTAAGAAACATTTACATTTGATCTTCCCGGAGACAGACTCCAGTTTCATCCAAGGATAATGAAAACGACCCGGCCTGTTGTGCTTTCCCGGGGAAGAACGCCTCACTCATGGGGAAAGACCTTTGCCCCTGCAAGAGTAAGAAGTGTGAGAAAGGAAAACAACTCTATCGGAACAAGTCACCTTTCCAAGTCAGAAACGCAGGGGCGGATGGGCGGGCGCTTTCAGCCGGGTTCAGAGGCTGCGTCCTCGGGAAAGAGCTTATTCCGCAGAGGTCAGCGGCTTTCTGTTGCGCAAGTTTCTCGACTTCGCTCACCCTTTCTTCAGGTGTAGAAAGGGACCGACGTACTAAGTATTTGGAGGTGGCATGTAATTTTCTTTTTTAAAGTAAGGATCCGAACAATCAATCCTTTGTTGATTAAGTGGGTAGTTCTAAATCTAAAAATTGTTCACTAGCTGGGTGTGGTGGCGCACGCCTGTAATCCCAGCACTTGGGAGGCTGAGGCAGGAGGATCGGATCTCTTGAAGTCCAAGGCCAGGTGGCTGGGGATTTATTTAGCTCAGCAGCACAGCATCTGCCTGGCAAGCGAGAGATCGTGAGTTCGATTCCCGGTACCGGAAAAACAAAACAAAACAAAAAAGTCCAAGGCCAGCCTGGGCTACATAAGTGAGTTGAAGGCCAGCCTGAGCGGCATAGTAAAACCCTGTCTCAAAAAGACAAAAAATAAAATAAAATAAGAACTATTCACTATTTGGCGCTAACAAAGTACATCTGACGTGTGATAACATGGGATCACATTACTAAAGTTCAGCAATAATGCTAGGAGACAGCTTCCACATTTATCGATGTTTTCATGTGCCAGTTTGTGATTTCTTTGGAATCTGGGCTCCCTAAGGAGGGTTATCTTGAAACCATCTGAATATGGTGACCCTGGCGTTAGCAGAAACGGAACTGAGGGATTATAGTAGATTGTGAGAACCCACCATGACTGTCTTTATTGCTGAACAGTAAACTATTCTGTAAATTTGTCAACTATTTTTAACCAGAAGCAAAATTGAAAATGCCAGGTGACAGCCATGAGTTCACCCGTGTGCTTCCTGTTGAGTTTCCCACATTCGTTTGCATTTTGTTGACCTCTCAACCACCACAAAATAATTCAGAATCGCTTCACAACCCCACTTATGTTAAGGCGTAGTGATTAGCATGGCTAAATACACTGACATGTCCTGTTCAAAGGTTTCCCACAAATGACTGATAGAACTCTTTCTTGTAAAGCAAGTTAAAAGTTAAGTCACCCTACATGACTAGGCTCACATATCTTTAATGGATTCTGGGGCGGCCAGAATTTAATTCCGTTTGGAATCTCATTATGGTTATTTTTATATGGCAACTAGACCAGTCCACAGTGCCCAGATGTTTGATCAAACACTACCCTAGTTGTTGTAGATGTGATTAGCATTTAGAAATCACCCTCCTACCACGGGTGGACCCATCAACAGCTGGAGACCTTAGTACCAAGACAAGTTCACTGGGAAAGAAGCAATTCTGCCACAAGACTCTCAACCTGCTGGTCACCTTAGGGATGCGGAGCTGGACATGCGCACAGCGCCACTCTTAGCTGGGTTTTACCCAGCCAGTTGCTGGACTTCAGCCTTCACGACAGTATGACCCAACCCTTTGCAGCGAACACAAGTGGTACTCAGTTCACAAACGTAATGCGTTCCCCAGTTCTGTGGGGTGAAGATGGCCACGGTCATGTTTGTCACCTGATGCAGAGTGAACCACGCTATTCACAAACAACAGCATTCCTGAGCTGAGGTACCAGGGTAAATCTCCTTCATTCTCCGCTACTGCTTCCATTTCTTCAAATAACCTAACAAACTGGTACAGGTATTTCTTTTGTTTATTTGTTTCTTTTTAGGTTTTGTTTTGTTTTTTTTTTTTTTGAGACAGGGTCTTGCTATGCAGTTGAGGCTGACCTTGAACTCACCAGTAGCCCAGGCTGGCCTTGAACTTGCAATGATCCTCCTGCCTCAGCCTCCCAAGTGCTGGGATTACAGGTGTATGGCACCACAACCAGCAGTGTTTCCTAGTTATTATGCGATTTAACAAGTTTTACTTCATTGTTATAATGAAGAACTCAATTTTTAATTTTTTATTTTTATTAGTACATATTTGCAACGACCCTAATCAATGGGAAGACTTCCCGCATGTACATAGCACATCTTCATTCTTTTCCTTCCCAGTCTCTTGCCCTTCTTCCCCTGTCTCTAGATCCCCTTCCCAGTTGCAAAAGATCTATTTCCCTGTTTACTAGTATCTTTTAGTTTGTTTTTTAAATTTATACTCTGGGTTTCTCATATAAGAAAAACCATGTGACATTTAAGCTTGTGTGTCTGGTTTATTTCGCCAAATATATGGTCTCAAGGTGCATTCGTTTTCCTCCCAGTGATTCAAAATCATCCCTCTTTATAATTCAGTAGTACTCCGTTGTATACAAACACTACATTCTCTTTCTGCATTCATCTGTTGATGGACCTATGGGCTGTTATGAGTTGTGCAAGGTTTAGCTGTTATGAGTTGTGCAACTATAAACACGTGTGTCACTGTAATGTGACATCTTCTAACTCTTTCAGGAAGATGGCTAGCAGGCAAACAGCTGGGTAGAATGAAATTTCAATTTTTAGCTTTTTGAGAAATCAGCCATACATAATAGTTGTACTAGTTTAAATTCACACCAACATAGAAAGTTTCCTTTTCCCTTATAGCTTCACCAGTCTTTGTTAATCGTTTGATTTTTTTTTTTTTTTTTTTTTTGATGATAGCCATTCTTTCTGAAGTAAGATAGAATCTCAGTGTTATTTTACTTTGCATTTTTCTAATGGTTAGAGATGTTGACCATTTTTTTTTTCATGTACTTACTGGCCTTTAAACTTCTTTTTTTTTCTTTTTTCTTTTGTCTTTTTGAGACAGGGTCTTGCTATGCAGTTCGGGCTGGCCTTGAACTCACTTTGTAGCCCAGGCTGGTCTCAAACTCACACAGATCCTCCTGCCTCAGCCTCCCGAGTACTGGGATTACAGGCATGTGCCACCACGCCTGGCTAAGTCATTTCTTCTTTTCTTTAACCTTCTGAGAAGTATCCATTCATTTCAGTTATCCATTTTTCGACTGGGTCTGATTTTTTCAACTTCTTTATCTATTCTAGACAGTATTCCTCTGTCCAAGGTATAGCTGGCAAACTTTCGCTATCCTGTAGGTTGTCTCTTTATTCTGTTGGTGGTTTCCTTTGTTGTGAGATTTTTGATTTGATATGGCCCCATTCATTGACTCTTGGTTTTATTTCTTATGCAGTTGGGTTCTGTTCAGAAAGCCCTTACCCATGCCTATGTCTTCAAAAGTTTATCTACTTGTCTTCCAGCAGATTGTTTCTGTTTGAATATTTAAGTCTTTGATGAATTTTGACTTTAAACAGATCCCTTCTTGACTTAGTTCAGTACTTAATATGTGACCCAATAACTTTTCAACCCGAAATAATACATTTACCAATGCACTCTCCATTGTTCCAGATAAAACTGAAATAACTTTTTGTCTAATCTCTGAAATAAGATTTTATCAGATGTCATGAAACTGACCAAGAGGAAAGATAAGATAATCCCCTTTCAAAGTCAGTGTACCAGGGAAGTTAAAGAGCCTGATCTGGTCATTTTGTTCGGAATCACTTTTTAAAATATTTTTAAAGGTTGGGCGTGGTGTCTCACACCTATAATTTGAGCCCAGCTTGGGCAACTAGTGACTTTGTAAGACCCTGTCCCCCAAATTTTTTAAAACATTTTTTTAAATTTTAAAAGAGTTGCGAATATAACTCAGACTGTGGGTTTCATTCCCTGTACCATGCCCCCCAAAAATAAAATTATTTATAAACACACTTAATTATGGAAGGAACATGAAACCATTCTCTTTGGGTAGAAAAAAATGAACATTGCGAAAAAATAAATAAATAAACATTGCACCTAATGGAAATGTTTGAATTAACTTTGCCCCAACTCACATTCCTAATTCTCTCCAAAGATGACCCTATCTTTCAGTGCAGTGTTCATATTTCTGATCTTTTCATAAGCATTTATATTCATACAGCTGTACCTGTGGAAACTGTAAACAAACCGCTTGGCTTAAACTCTGGCTCTGTCACTCACAGTGTGTGTGACTTGGAGCTAGACACTGAACCTCTCCTTGCCCTGGTGCTCAATTCTGTAAAATACAGCAAATAATAGTACCCAATTCGTAGGGTTGTTTTGAGTCCACCATGTAAAGCATTTGGAACAGTGACTGACACATAACAAGCATTAGAAAGGATTAGTTATCATTCTTTTTTCTAACATAAATGACACTAGGGGATACTTTTTCCTAACTTATTTAATTCATCAATGTACTTTGGAAATGTTTCCATAGTATTACAGATAAAACCCCTTCTTCCCAACAACTTCAGTTATCACCTTCCACGTAATGATTTAAAACAGTTCCTAGAAAACTATCTGTATCTACCCAAGTCGTGTATGTTTTTTTCTACATGATTTGGTGGAGTAAAGTATCATGGGTGCTTGGGAGACAGAAAGCATTATGAGAATGTTTTCTGTGCCGATGTCACCACGGGGGATGGCATGGGAAGACCTCGCAATAACCTGGGACAGACGCTTCGTCCTCGAGGTGTGGTTTCACTTACTGAAGGTGGTGACTCCCCAGAGAGGCAAAGTGACCGTGCTCTCTGTCTTGTTTCTTCTTCCAGCAACTTGCCGCCTCGCTGCCTTGAGTGAGGCCAAAGCTGTGTTTCAAAGGAGGCTGGAGAAGAATGACTGGTGTGGTTAAAGGTGAGGCCTGCACTGTGGATCCCTTTCCTTTTGCAGTTCCCCGTGGGAGGCTGTTAGGGCTTGTGTCTAGATGCCTCCCCCAAAGCCTCATGCAGTCATAGGCGGGGCTTTTTCAGAGGTGGCTGAATCTACAGTGTGTGATGCTGGGATCGATTCATGGTGCAGCCCTAGGATCAAGGGCACTAGGATAAGGGTATGAGTGAGTGCTACCTGCCCTAAGGGTAGGTAGCCTGGATAAGATACAAGGGACAGAAAGAGGCTTGTAGATTGTCCCTTGTCGTTGCTTGCTTGTGTTTGCTGTTTTCTGCCTGCATGAACTATTTCTCCTCTGCAATACCCTCTGCCATGTGCCACCCTGCCTTGGAGCTGTCAACTAGGGACTGAAACTGCTACAAACTGCGAGCTAAATATACCTTTCCTCCTTTAAATGTGGGTGTCGGGTACTTTGTCTCAGCGAAGAGAAAAAAAGTAACTCAGACAGAAGCATGTCTGTCCTTGGGCCCAAGAAGGGTCAGGAGTCGCTGCCGCTTGTCTCTGACTGTTGGCATCCATCCCAGCTGGGCTGGACGTGGGTGGGGAGCAGCTGGGCTTCCCGGGTCCCCCACACCTGGAAAACCAGAGGACTGGGGAAAGGGCGCTGGAGAGGAGGGGGAGGAGGCGCTCCTCTGGGCTTCCCAACACTGCCTGAGCCGGTCCCTGAGCGTTCTCTGTCGTAAACGCCGCATCCGGTCCAGCCTGACACAGAGCAGGTGTTCAGCATATGACTGCTGGTGAAATAAACAAATCAACTGAACCTTTGCTTGCCCTAGCAGGACAAAGCGTATTTCACATTTTTTAAAGTAGAGGAGGGATTCCACTAGCAACACATTGTTTAAAAGCAGGAAAGACTGAGTCGAGAACTGCGTGGGGAAAGAGATTCTGTTCTTTGTAGATGCATCGTGAGAAGGAGGCGCTGGGAAGGAAAAAGTAACCTGGATTCTCTGGCGGGCACTACAAGGACCTGAGAAGATGACGGGCTCCCAGCAAGTGCTGCTGTGGCTTCTGACAGCGCCCCGGCGGCCGGTGGAGCCTTACCTGCCCGGGTCTGTCGCTGTCACCGGAGGGGTGAGGGCGCTCTCCCCGGAGGGGCTCGGAAGGGAGAGCGCAGGCGCTGCCGAAGCAAGGCCCGCCCGGACCAGCAGGACTCCTGCCCCGGCGCCCTGCAGGGCACGCCGGGCCGCCCTCCCCGCTCCTGGGTCAGCCTCGGAGACGCCGCCCGGGAGCCTGCGCCGCGCTGCGTTCTCAGAGCGGCCGCGGGACCCTCCTCCTTCCGACTCGCCGTCACTGCTGGCGCGGGGCCCGTGACATCTCCTGGGGGCAGATCTGCAGAGCCGCAGGGCCCCCCTGCGCCCCGGCTCCTCTCCCGCCTCTCCGCTCGCCACCGGCTCCAGCCTCGGCCGCAGCGGGACCCGGGCCTTCCCGGCCGGCCTGCTCCTGCACCCGCCACCCACCCAGCCTGCCCGCAGCTCCTCCGCGGAGGCCCGGCCTCTCCCCGCACCCCCGCCTCTGCAGCTTCCGAAAGCGCACGCCAGGTGGTCTCCGCCCTGAGAGGTCCTTCCGCGGGTGACTCCCTTTAGGACAAACTGCAAGCTGTCAGCAGCCACCTTCGATCTGATGTCTCCCGCACTCTGCAGGCAGCGCCCTCTTGCCTGTCTGGACAGCCCATTCCATCTTCCTGAAACCCTTTTTGGCTAGCTAATTCCTGTTTCCCTCTTCAAGACAGAATGCAGCCGGGCGTGGTGGCGCACGCCTGTAATCCCAGCACTCGGGAGGCTGAGGCAGGAGGATCCTTGCGAGTTCGAGACCAGCCTGGGCTGCAAAGTGAGCTCAAGGTCAGGCTGAACTGCATAGAGAGACCCTGTCTCAAAAAGACAAAAAAAAAAAAAAAAAAAAAAAAAAAAAAAAAAAAAAAAAAAAAAAAATACGGACTGCAAAGACCCCTTCCTACCAGCACCCACCCCCAGCCTTGAGCGCCTCCCTCGGTGCATGCGCTGTGACGCAGCACCTGTACCCTTCCCTCGATTGATCAGACACCCCTTGATCAGACACCCCTGCATGAGCCTATCTTTGTGTCTGCTGTGGTCCAAATGTTTGCGGCCCCTCCAAAATTCGCCTTGATCCCCAACCCCTGAGGCAATAGTGGCAGCAGGCCCAATCCTCCTGAAGGGATTAACGCCCTAGAAAGGAGCTCCAGGCAGCAAGTTGACGCCTCCGCTCTTCCGTGTGAGCACACAGCTTTCGTCTCCTTTCTGCCCTCACATCTCCTCTGCCGTGCAAGGACATCCAGGCGGCACCTCGCAGCAACACGCTCAGGAGACACTGAGCCTGCCAGCACCTTGGCCTTGAACTTGCAGCCGCCCCAGCTGTGAGAACGTAGATTTCTGTTCTGTATAAACTGCCAATTCCTTGTTATTTTGCAACATAAACAGACTAAGACAGTATCTCTAGCCCCTACGACAGTATCTGCTAACAAACGCTAAGGAATAAATAAATGGATTTAGCTGTATTGGGTGAGTCCTGAAGCAGAATTTATTGCTTAGATTAGCCCCAGAAACACAGCCCTGGAAATTGCTCCACAAGCACAAAACCTGAGGTGAGGAGCATGCTAGTTTTCACCAGGGCAAACCCACCTCTCCATTGCAGGGTCAGAACCAGCCTTTGTGAATCTTTTGGGAATTAGGAGCAGGCAGATCTGCCTGGGGCAATTTGCCATCCACCAAGCCAAATGGTCATTCTTCACCAGATGGTCTTGGAGCTGTTATTTCTTCCTAGTCACATGTCCGAGCTGACGCAATCGCGTCCCAGAGGTTATAAGAGAAAAGTTGCTGACATTCACGTCTGACGGAGCCAGTGCCTTGTTTCTGTTTCTGTGGCAAAGGTTTTCTCAACAACAGCCTCCTTGAGAAGTGTACACACACACAGCTTGCCTGCCCAGGCCACAGCGGGAGCCAAGGCTGGAGCTGTGGCTGAGTGGAAAACACCGAGCTCTGAAGGAGCAACAGCCTAGTCAGTACTCTCACCGGGGAGCTCAGAGACGGCAAACATACGTCATGCCCTGTAAGAAATAAGAACAGAAGTTGAGTCCTAGTAAGAGTTTTCAAGTGGGTCCCACGGCTAAATGAGTGCTGTCTCTTCATTCAAACAGAGAGGGCAAAGGAACACGATGGAACATTCCACTGGGCCCAGCAAGGATATGTAAGCTTTTCACTGTTACAAATGATGCCATAAATGTGTCAGTCCAGATGAAGTTCAGGTGGTTTACTAGCAAATGATTGTGTCCCTCGCTTGTTTGCATTTGTTGAACTCAGCTGGCAGAGAGGAGGAGGTCAGCAGATTAGGGGCCCAAATCCACAGCCTACACCAGATCTCAGAGTGCTGGAGAATGCTGGGGGAGGGGCAGGGGGAGGGGGAGGGGGCGGGGCTTATCTGATTAGTCAGCAGAGCAGGAAGAGATTAAAAGAGTGTTTTTCAAATGAGAATTCCTTCCCTATCTCCATTCACAGGAGTATACATTTTTATTGCCCTGGTTAAGATCACAAAGATCAAGCGTGTAAATTCCACACTTGTAAGTATTGAATCTTTAGAAGAAGGTACAAACTCCAACTCTAACTGGCCTATATTTGTCTCCTTGCCTGTCATGAGGACCAAATACCTGACACCTATGATTTAAAGGAGAAGAGGTTTATTTTGGCTTGTAACTTCAGAGGGTTCAGTCCATGGTACATTGTTTCTAAGGCAGAAGCATCACTGCAGAGAACATGTGAGAGAAAGACCACTCAGCATATGGCAGATGAGAAGTGGAGAGCAGAGAAAGAGCAGAGAGGAAGGGTCTGGGGACCAGATAGAGTCCCCAAGGTCATGTCCCCATGATCCAATTTCTCGTAGGTCCCACATCCTAACAGTCCTTTCAGCCATGAATTCATCAGGGGGTTAACCCACTGATAAAGTTAGTGCTCTCACAATCCTATCATTTCTCCAGGTATCTCTCAATCCAGTCAAATTAACCATCAGGATTAACAGGTACACTGCCCCCATTTTATCTTGCACGTGGTAGACAGGGGCAGTCAAAGTTTTCCTCGAAACGGGCTTCATTTATGACCATCAATGCCTCAGTCATCAGCATTTCTTTTGCAGTTAAATTCTTTGAAACAAATATATCCTGAACTTCCCATGAAGAAAGGATATTTTCATGAAAGTCTATTCATTGAGGCCTTAGGTAAATTATGGCCCTAGGGTACTCAAAAGTCACACTCTCTCCTCACACAAAGCAGGACCTAAGAGTATACTGGCTCTAAAATGGGTTTCTAGCTGAGCAGCCAGCAGCATGCTGAAGTGGCAGAGAATAATTCTGGAGAGTCAGACAGACATTCTCTTTGGAAGCTCTGGGTCCTCCTACAACCAAGCTTAACAAAGGTATTGAAAACTTGGTTCAACACAGCTCCATTGCACAGCAACCAGTTACATATTCAAACTATGGAATACAATATACAGAACCCTCCTCTCTTATCTACAACTCAACTCAGTTTTTGTTTTGAATTCTCATTTTCCTTTGTGAAGGATTAAGGTGGTTCCAGACCCCGTGAAGCTCCTCATATCAAGTAGGGAAATCTGTTTCCCCGCCCTTTGAGTCTGGACTGGCCATGCAACTTGCTTTGACAACAGAATGTAGTAGAGATGCCATATGTCTTCTGAGCTACCGAATGAGGCCACACAGTTTCTGCTCTTACTCTCTTGGAAAGTGTTCACCATAGCGTGAAGGAGTCTGGGATGAAAGATTTGTGGACAGCGAGTTCACAGCCTGGGTTACATTGTGAGTTCAAGGTCAGCCTGAACTACTCCACCCCAGGCAATCGTGATGACTGCATGAGGGGCCCAGGCAAGACCAGCAGAATAGCTAAACTCTGCCGAGCTGACCCACAGGAAGTATGAGCACAGAAACAGTGATTTGGGGGGAGCGCACCAAGTTTTGGTGTGATTCTTAATAAAATAATAGGGAACTGGTACACTCTTGGTGGGAAATGAGTTTGGTTTAAATTCAATCAATTGAAAATTTTCTCATCCACAGCTTTCCCCCTGAAGTGGCCGGTGAGGTCCGCAAGGCTTCTGTCAGCTCGTGGCACACAGGTGCTCCGATGGCACCGCCTGCCTCTTTGCACCTGGCACCATGAATTCCCAGTTGGTCTCTCCGCAGCGCTATCCCGAGTCCTACAGTCTATACAGACATCCCTTGTTGAACAACCGACCTGTTTGAAAACCGTTTGGACTTGTAGTGTGCCACTTGGACGCATGACCCGTCTTTTTTTTACGCAGTTCTGTTGTTTATAGAGTTTCAGTGTTTTATTCTTGTACGATCCATTTTGTGTGTATAGTGCTGTAATTTCCGCCAATTGTACTGTACAACACAGTAGCTTCATGTTCTGTTATATATTATATATTACAGGACTGCATGTGGCAGTTACACAAACAAAAGCAAAGTCATCAAGGTGGACTTTCCCTTGACCATTTCCTTGTGTTGAATATTGTAATGTACATAGGATATGCAATTTGTGATTTAGTGACCCATTTGTTTAACAGCTAGTCACAGGTATGTGACTTAGTCATTAAACAAGGCGTGTTTATTGCAACCGCTGACAGCATTCCCTCATCCTAGCTATGAGGCCACTCCAGGTCTTCCGTTCCTTAGGGCCTGCCAAGCCACAGTTGATCAGTTTTGGTTGCTCCTCAACATGCCGGGCATACAGGACCCCAGCCACCCCTGTTGCCAGAGTCCCATCTGCTCTTCCCCCCACAGTGGCATCAGGAACGCTCCCGGGGCTGGCTGATCCTAGGCCGCTGGATCCCTGTTGTCTGTACGCTCATCTGACTTGACCGGTGAAGGGGCACCGAGGGTGGTAGAGGACCCACACTCGTCTGGGGAGTCCAACTAATAGCTCAGTGTTTTCCCTCCTACCTACCTCTTTCTGCATTTCCCAGCCCAGCCAGTTGTGCGGTAAAGTTTGGTACCTGAAGGTAAAAAAAGCACCCCTTTTCACTTCACCTACTGTTCTATGCCTAGACTGCAACTTCTGCTCAGTGCCAAAAAGATCATGCTCTTATAACTAAAAATTCTTTTTCTTTCAAGTACTCTACCTCTGTTATCAGCTTCAGATTTCAGTATGGCATTCTGTGCATTATATACATTTAAAAATGTAGATTATTGTTTCCTGTGCATAAATCATTATATAAAAGGTATGGTCACACTCTGCTCATTACTGGTGTTTTGTTTTGTGCTGTTTTGCTTCTGCTAAGCTTTGTCTTTTCCTGTTCCTATGTACAAACCTAATATGCAGCTTCTAATTGCTGCACGTTACACCCTAGATATTCACATTTTCTTTTACCTCCTCACAAATGATGGACCTTCACATTTAAAGTTCATGCTGTTCTATAAGGTTATATTGCAATAAATATCTTCATCCACCTTCCCTTGAAAAACTGTCTAAAAATTTTATGTACAAGATTTCAAGTACAAGAAGTGAGATTCCCAGCTACAAGGTATGCACGTTTGGTTTGAATTTGCACTGCCAGATTGTTCAGACCAGCTGCACAAACATTACACTAGCTCTGAAATCTTAACCCCAGCCCTAACCTTAACCCTAACCCCAACCTTAAACCTAACCCTACATCCTTTCTCACCAGCAATTCATATCCTTATACTGCCAGCCACTGGTAATGCCCGGTGTTCTAATTTTGTACCTAGCTAGTAAGTGTAAAGTGATATCTTGTAATTGTCTTATTTAATAATGACTTTGCACGTTTCTTAACTGTCTGCTAGTTTGAGAGGACCCTTTGCTTTTAGTGAACTGCCTGTTCGTATCCTTTGCTTACTGTACTGTCTTTTTTTGAGTGAGTGATTGGGTTTTGGATTTTTGAGGCAGGGTCTCACTATGTAGTTTAGTCTGCCCTTGAACTCACTATGTAGCCCAGGCTGGTCTCAAACTGTGGCAATCTTTCTGCCTCAGCCTCCCGAGTGCTGAGATTACAGGCATGCACCACCACACCTGGCTTGTACAGTCTTTGGAGGTTCCTGTCCTTTTCCTGTTCATAACGGGCTCCTGGAATTCTAGAGAACTGTCTCTGAGCACTTTTAATCATGGCAATCACCTTTTCCAATCTGACATCACATCATAACTTCGGCCCATTATGTCCTTCATTTAACAGAAATCTTTAATTTTCATTAATCAATATCTTTTGTGCTTTATGGGTTTGTTATTTTTCCAGTTTTTATTTTTTATTAGTATATGTTTGTATCACATGATGATTATATTCATTATGATTATGGATTTTCTTTTTGTTTTTTGTTGTTGTTGTTTTTTGTTTTGGGGGGTTTTTTTGAGACAGAATCTCACTATGCAGTTCAGGCTGACCTTGAGCTCACTATGTAGTCTGGGCTTGCAACTATCCTCCTGCCTCAGCCTCCCACGTGCTGAGATTACAGGCATGCAGCACCACATCCAGCTGTTTTTTATGTTTCACTCAAGAAGTGCATCCATACTTTCACCTCAAAAATAAATTCCCCTATATTTTCTCCTACTAATTTCATAATTTTATCTTTTTCATTTAGATCTTTGAACCACTTAGATTTCACCTTATATGTCACTCTATGAAGACAGCAGGTGTATTTTTCTGCATAAAATGAGTACATTTTTTTCAACAACATGAAGTAAAAAGTATATCCTTTCCTTCTTTGCCTACCTTTGCTTTATGGTATTTTCCCAGATCTGAAGCTGTCTCTGAGTACTTCACTTTGCTCACTGTTTGTCTATTGTTGCAAAAATCACTGGTTTTGTTCCTACAGCCCAGCAACATATCTTACTATCTGACAGCCCTTTGTTCTTTATAAGGGTCAACAGCTATTCTTGAGAGCTTGTTTGGAAGTTCTAACAGTGGAGTGCAGCTACTCCTATACCCCTGACCCAGGAATGGTCCTCCTCTACTGGGGGTGGTCGTCCTCTTCGACTGACCACACAGCTTCGGCCTGAATGCACATGGAGCTTTGAGGTAGGAAAGGGAAAACCCGCCCACCCAGTCAGATCAACCATCAACCCTGGCGATCGGTGGGGTAACAGTTGTTGCAGCCAGATCATCTCATGTCCTATTCTTGGACTTTTAGTCCTCCATATTAATTTAAGAGAAAATGTGTACATTGGGTATGGTGGTGCACATGTGCCATCCCAGCCCTCTGGAGGCTGAGGCAGGAAGATAGCCACAAGTTTGAAGCCAGCCTGCACTACAAAATGACATCCTGTCTCAAAAAAAACCAAGTAAATAAATAAATAAGGTGCACTGGGAGGCTGGAGAGAAAAAGCTACAAAAAATGACTTTTGCCCCAGATGGCTCACTTGAGAGGTTAGTAAGAATTGCCTCCTTGGTATTCTATAGCTGTGATGAGGAGGAGGCCAAGGAGAGAAAACAAAGAGACTGAGAAAAAGCAACTGCTTTTGCTGCAGCACTAAGAGAAACAGACCCTAAGTCTGATTCTCGGGGCCCCAAGAAGAACTCAATGACTGCATTCATCTGCTATCACTGTTAAAAGCCAGGCCACCTCAAGAGGAACTGCCCTAAGAAGCCCCCTGGGCCATGCCCTGAATGCAAAGGTAACCACTGGAGATCAGTCTGCCCTCTAAAGCAGAGGCCCCAGAGCTCAGACCCATCCTACCAGTTAGTCTAACAGGAATGAGGGGGCCTGGGGCATACTCTGCCTTCTCCCTCTGGCCAGACTGTCATCTCCATGGAGGAGCCCCAGGTAATCATGACTATAGAGGAAAAAGAAACCAGCCTGTTGCTAGACACAGGTGCAAGTCTCTCGGTCCTTCTTTTCAACCCTGGCCTTCCTTCCAGCCGTCACACCTCACTGAAAGAAGTCACTGGTGAAGAGGTAGTACGCTATTTTTCACAACCCTTAGGCTGTAACTACTTGTTAGATCTTTCTCGCGTATCTCTGTCTTCCCGAGAAACCACTTTGAACATACCACCATGTATTACAGCAGCCACTGATATTTTCCTACTAATCTATCCATAACTCTGTAATGTTTGTATTGTTCCTATGCTATTTCATTAATGGGTATATGTTTATTATTATGTGTTTCCTACAACAACCATTGAGAATAGTCAATGAATATTCAATTGGTCACTCATGTATAGCTTGATTTATTTTCTTGAGAAACCACTTTGAAGATACCAAAGTATAGTACAACAACCATTGATAATAACCTACCAGTTCGCAGAAATTTACTTCACAGAAATAGTTTATTTTGTCTTAATTCACTCCTAGAAAACACAGCTTTTATTGCTATTGAATTATATAAATTTATAAATAGATAAATGAATAGTTAGAACTAGAGATTTTAATAAGCTTCTTAGAAAATGAAAAACAAAAAAGAAGGAAAGATATCAAAGACTTGAACAGTGCAAACAAATAAGCTACCTACTATGTAAACCTTTACTTACAACAGAGAATATACTTTCAATAGCACATGAAAAATTTACAAAAATAGTTTAATGGATTAGGTCAAAAAGGAAGTCAAAGTAATTTTGAAGGATTGCTATGGAGACCACATTATCTTGCCAATGTGCAATAAAATTAGAAGTTAACATCAAAGATACCTTTTTAAAAATCTCTTATACTTGGAAACTGAAAAATTATATTAAACAGAAAGTTTTTGAGTGATCATGGAAATACTGCATGTCAACATCTATGAAATTTACCTAAGGTCTTACATAGCTTTAAATAAAATTTTAGGCAACAAAATATCCAGATCTTTAAATTCTTTTCAGTTGGGCTTTCCGGAAGTTGCAATCAATAGCATCCTTATAGTTCTAAACATTCAGTTTTTACAAGTGTTGCTTTTCCTCCCATTCTTAATTGATTTTACAGTCTCTGGATCTTCCCAAGAGCTCATTCAGCTGCAGAGAATATCTGAATGTCAGGCCTAGGTGTGAGATTCTTTATGCTTAACTTTTTTCAAAAGTCCAGGTGAAGGAAATATGCAAGAATAGATCTTGAGCCAGACATGGTGGCACACACCTGTAATCCAAGCACTGAGGAGGTTGAGGCAGGAGAATTGCTGTAAGTTCAAGGCCAGCATGAGCAACATAGTGAATTCAAGGCCAGCCTACACTACACATCAAGAGTTTGTCTAAAAAAAAAAAAAAAAAACAGAAAAAGAATAGGTCTTGAAGAAAATATGGTTACTCTTAGTTCTTTAGATAGCTTTTATTCCCTGATTACACAGAGTTATATATGAAATTTATTGTTTTGTCTTTTTTCAGATAATTCTTTTGATTTATATTATAGTGCGGTACCTTTGCATGGAGAAATGGTAGAAGAAAATTCTGATAGACAACATCATTGTGTTTATAGAGGACTACTGATATTTTCTTTTGTGCTATGTTTTGTTTTGTTTTTATGACAAGATGTCACGAAATTGTTCATGCTGGCCTTGAACTTGTGACCCTTATGCCTCGGCCTCCTGAGTAACTGGGATTACAGGTATTCAGTGCTGTTCCCAGCTGAGGATGACTGATAAAGATGCCCACTCCTCACTTAATTGCCCACACATGAAAATCCATACAAACAAAAATGATAAAGTGTTTTCTTTCTCTTGTGAGATTGAATTGCTACTGGATTTTTTTTATTTTAAAGAGGAAAAAATAAAAATAACAGTAAAACAGAGTTTCAAAACATATTAGTAGGAGAACTACAATAATTAATATACTGAGTATTGTTGTCTGTGTATCAGTTATTCTGAGTACAAGATATAGGCATGATATCTTGTCCAAACAATATTAGCCCAAACCTTTCTTTGCAATGAACTAAGAGAAACTAGCTGTGCAACTATCTCAACTATCTTGTGTATATTTTTTTTCTTTTTCTCTTCCTTCCTTTCCCCTCTCTCCATCACAGTTTGTCTTTTTTTTTTTTGACCAGTTTCTTCCCAATTCACAATATCTATTGTACAGTTTAGATCATATTTACTCATTCAGTTTCTCACATGTCTTGAAGATTTCTGCCTATTTTCTTTGCCAGTAAATTTAGTTTTTCTATTTTAATATTTAGATCTTTGATCCATTTTGACTTTAGTTTAATGCATGGTGATAGACATGAGTCTACTTTTAGTCTTTGGCATATGAAAAGCCAGTTTTTCCAGCATCATTTGTTGAAGAGACTATCTTTCTTCCAGTGAACATGTTTGGCTCCTTTGTCAAAGATAAGTTGGCTAAGTGTGTTTGAGGTTGCATCTGCATCTTTTGTTCTGTTCCACTGATCCTCAGGTCTTTGTTGGTTTTTTGTGTGTGTGTGTGCCAGTACCATGCTGATTTTATCACAGTGGCTTTGTAGTATAATTTCAGGTCTAGGATTGTGATGCTTTCTGCCTTGCCTTTGTTGTTCAGAATTGCTTTTGCTATTCTAGGTTTCTTCTAGTTCCAAATGAATTTTAGGAATGCTTTCTGTAGATCTGTGAGGTATACTAATGGTATTTTTATTGGGATTGCATTAAATATGTAGAGAAGTTTTTGGAGTAGGGCCATTTTCACTATCTTGGTTCCTCCTATCCAAGAGCAAAGGGTATCTTTCCATTTTCTGATATCCTCTTTGATCTCTTTTAGGGTACTGTAATTTTCACTGTAAAGATCTTTTACATCCTTTGTTAGATTGATGCCTAAGTATTTCATTTTTTTAGATGCTATTGTAAGGGTGTGCTTTCCTTAATTTCTCTCTCTGTATGAGTTTGTTGCTTGTGTACAGGAATGTTATTGATTTTTGAGTGCTGACTTTGTATCCAGCTACACGACTGAATTTGCTT